TACTTCAAAAATGCAGCCTTCTGTTACAAAAACATAATAGGAATGTACTAGCTACTAGGTAAAGCCGTGTATAATAACTCTCCATGCATACCAAATTTTGTACTTGATGCGAGTTTTCTCGCACTTAAAATAGTTGTAGAAAAGTGGTTGAAAGTACGAGTATCGTCTCCACAGGGACGGACAAAAGGGAATTAAAGATTAACTAAGTTCAGCGATTAAAAAGAAATAAATAAAATAAATGAGATTGTGCGAGATTGATTGGTGAATAAAATTAAACTAATGCGAATGAACGATTAAATTAAAAGATTGGTTTCTTCTCAATTAACGACGAAGGAAATAGGAATTGATTCCGGGGTTAACCAGATTTCTGGCAGATCAGGCCTAATTACATGAATTTAATTTAATTGAGCCTAGCTAATCATTACTAAGTTCTTACCGCTCTCGCGGCGTAGAGTACAATAATTTAGGGGACCAGGCTGATCTCTCATGCGACAAGATCCTAAATTATTGCCAAGACGAGCGAGCTTACGGCCCCTTAATCGCTACTAATCTCTTAGCGAACGATTAAGTGTGCGTGAATGTGTCCTAGAACAAATTAGATTTCTCTTAATTTATTCTATAAGCAATTGTAATTCTAGTGGCCATCTAGGTTACAAGAGATATCAATTAAATTATTCATACACAAATTAAACGGCATTCATGCAATTAAACCGACAAGAATCTAGCCATACATCATGATTAGCCCCTTCATCAACACCAAATCCCTAATTAAACTACTCACAATTCATAATTGAATAATCAACAGAATTGGGATGAATAGAAATAATTGTCATTAATTAAAAAGATGAAACTTACAAAGAATCTCAGGGTCTTGAACAAAATAGCAGAAAAACACTGTAAAACACGTCCCTAAGCTTCTCTCTAGGTTTCCCCCAACCCCAAAACGGGGTTAGGGAGGCTTTATTTATAGAAAACAATGAGTTTGGGTCGAAAAAGGACAGATCCGCGGTACGCACGGAGCCTACGCACGGCGTGCGTTGCGTCCGTGCGTCTGACGGACCTGCGCGTGAAAATAGGCAACACACGGAGTGCGTTCCCCTACGCACGTCCGTGCGTTGCTGCCAGTAGCCATTCTTCGAAAAAACGCTTTGAACGCACGGCGTGCGTTCCCGGACGCACGGCCGTGCGTTACCGCCAGTAGCTTCCTTCAATTTAACGCCTTGGACGCACGACGTGCGTACCCCTACGCACGTCCGTGCGTTGCTGCCAGTAGCCATTCGTCTTTCAACGCCTTGGACGCACGGCGTGCGTACCCGGACGCACGGCCGTTCGTTGCTCATTACTCTTCTTGGCCGCTACTGCCACGCACGCACGCCGTGCGTCCATGTACGCACGACCGTGCGTGGCCTTTTTTCTTCATTTTCTTCGATTTCTTCCGTTTTAAGCTTCGTTTGACCACTCGATCGATCCAATAGCTCTTCCTTCATCAAAACATCATCATGAATCTCCCGGTGGCCTCCAGAACTGCGAATTCATTCTCGAATGCTTCTTAACTCGTCCCGATCTCTTTTCAAACGCCGAAGCCGGATCCCAAAAACCTGATTTCAACTCTGAAAATACCAAAACTCGTACCTATGCCCGGTACACATGACTTGAGCTAAAATTGAGACTTACGACACCCAAAAGCTAGGAAAACCATCAAAATCTGACTCCAACACACATCAAATGCGTGTTGAAATACGAACTTATCAATACTCTGTATAATAATTAGTGGAATATTTTTGTTGAAGATTTAGAAGTGGTTCCATTAGCCGGATAGGAATGTTTTTGTCTGAATTTTTAAGATTTGATTTGATCTGATTTTTTCTGAGTTGATCAGGAACTTTTTTTTATCTTATTTAAATCTTTTTTTATCTGATTTTAAACTTTTTTATTTGATCTGAATCAATCTCAATCAAATCTAAATATTTCTAATGTAATTAAATATTTATTGTTGTTGTTATTATTATCATCACTATTAGTATGCATATAGTTATGATTAAAATTATTAACTATAATTATAATTATAATTATAATTATAGCTATATTATAATTCTGGTTATAATTATAACAATAAATATGGATCTTTATGATTTGATCTTAATTTTTCTAATTTAATGAATTGTTCATATTTGATCTGGTCTAAATAAAATAAGAATAAACAATAAGCAATAAGAATAAGACAAAATAATTAAAATATCTCAAACTTTGAATGAGTGTGAGTTAAGCACCTCCAACTTGCATATGTAATCTAAATACCCTAAACTTTATATAAAAAGTTCTTTTAGCGCCATGGTCATGTATTATTTCTTTCAAAAATGTTAATTGTTTTGTGTTAATTTCATAATTCAAAATATTTTAGCATTCTATAAAATACAATTAACATTCTAAACTTCCATTGTACAATAAATAAACTACCCCCACTCTATACAATTGCATCATTTTTAATTTGATATTTTAATTTATTCAATCAACAGCATAAATTTACATTTTTGAAAGAAATAATATATGACTATAGTGCTAAAATAACTTTTATATAACGTTTGGGGTATTAAAAATGCATATGAAAGTTTGAAGTGTTTATCTAACACTCCTTCAATGACAGTTACTAACTGCAAATAAGAAAAGTGACATTCATAAATTAAAAATCATAAAATTTACACTCACTTTGTCTCAAATTTTTTTTGCTAACTTTCATTTTTTGTTATCTAAAAAACTTACTGCCTCTGTCTCGGAAAAAATTATACGAAGTATGGTTGGTAAGATAAACCATAAACTAAAATGGTTGGTTTATCGTCTAGTATAATTAGTAGGATTTAAATTCAAGACAATTTATCCTTTCACTAAGAATTTTCATTTACTTCTCCTTACTTGTATCGATTTTCTAACTATACTCACATTTCTTTAATTAATGATCGACTTTAATAATACTGTATCGAAATGGAAATCACCTAGTTTCCTTTAAAAAACACTTTTTTCAACCACAAAGATATGACCTGTCCTTTTTCACAATTGAAGTGATCGAAAGTATCTATTCAAAATTTCGTGTACACAACTTCAAACGGATTCTCGAAAACGCCAAAACATTAATTTGGTATTTTAAAATTTAAAACACAAAAGCGAAGAATGAAACAACGTTGAGATGGCCGAGTTGGTCTAAGGCGCCAGATTAAGGTTCTGGTCCGAAAGGGCGTGGGTTCAAATCCCACTCTCAACATCATTTTTATTCATTTGCCAAATATCTGGGATTTTTTTGACAAAAACGTTTCTGGATTAATAATCACAAATCATTTTTATAAAGAACGTTTACTAGTCATTGTGCAATTATTATTATACAGATACTTTACCAAATCAATTTTTTTGAAATATCTTTCTAAACCAATTATAGATTTAACTGAAGATAAATAGATAATATGAACATCCCTTAATTGAGATGAAACTCGAACATGCAACTTCTGCTTTGGAAGATCAACGATGATTTCATTAGTCAACAAGATACTTAGCCACAGACACAACATTAGGATTTGGAGAGGAACATGAGGAACCCTTATTTTAATTTAGTTAATAATAATATAATAAAGATAAAACTAATAATATAGGCTTTTCAATAGACACAAATATGATTCGGTTTAATTTCTACAAAAAGAGACTTAACTAAATTGGAAGGAATTAAAATACATTCAACTTAAGTGAAACCCATAAGCATCCTCTATGCAACTGGTCGCCTCCTGCCATTTACATTAATATTCACGCAGTCACTCCCATGTCTTCTTGGCAGCTGGTCGCCCCCTCTACTATTAGTCAAGTATAAAACACCGTCATATACTCAGACAACTAAAATCCAAGCTCAATTGATTTCAGACAACTAAAGTAAATCACACAGACAACCATTGTCTGTGAGCAACATAACTATTGTATGTGTAATAAAACCTATGTGAAGATGTACAATCAAAAATGATTTCAATTAATTTCAGACAATTAAAGTAGATCACATAGACACCAATGTCTATGAGCAACAAAACTATTATATGTGTAATAAAACCTATGTGAAGATAGACAATTAAAAATGATCTCATAGACAACTATTGTATCACACAAACAACAATCGTTTGTGACTTGCACAACTTTTACCAGTGTGGTGGTCTAGATTCTATCTTTGTGGTAGATTCTATCTGAAAAATCCATATTTTGGTAGCATAAAATAATTGTTTGTGCATAGATAATTATTGTCTTTGCACGCAAGCACTACACACTCGTAGATTTGTTTGCACGTAGCGTCATCATCATGCGATTGTCAATGTACTTTTTGGCCATGAAAATTAATGTATGTGGAAACAAATAAGAATTGTTTATACATAAACAACTTTTGTTTGTGTTGACATGTAGATCCATATGCCAGCATATATATTGATTGTATGTGACTCACATTTGTGTACTAATATACTTTAGTGTGTACAAATTGTATAAACTTGTATACAAACAGCAAAACTGTTTGTCAAAATCCCTTAATGATATTAGACATATTCTTCGCATTGAAGTTCGCATTACTAAAGTTCGTAATTTTGTCAACTACTATCAACGTTTCAACCAAAGATGAGCAATAAATTTCAATTGACTTTTCCGCCACGCTATATTTCTGGCAAATGTTTCCCATCGTTTATCACACGGGTGATTAAAAAAAATAAAGAACAAAAGAGCTAATGACAAGGTAAATCAATAATTTTTTTCTCGATTTACTCAACAAAACATTAAGCAATTTCCTGCCAGCCTGCTGATTTCAATGTTTGAAACTTCGAATACATTCGGTATTTCGGTATGAATGAAAACTTCTTTTGTTATGGATTCTAGAATGTACTTCCAACTTCTAGTTTTTTGACATTTTGTCGGCTGCGTGTATTTTTTATTTTGGAACTTTAAATCTCACGAGAAAATATACGTCATTATTTGATTGCAATTAATTAAAAACACGAGAAAACCGCCCCAGGACGGGTTTCTTGCAAGAGGGGCCGAAAATTTTCGATGAAATCAAGACTACCATCTCTCTTTATAAACCCTATACCCATGCCTTTCTCTGCATCATTCTCCACTTCAATTTTCTTCTGCCTTTCTCTTTATCTCCCTTCTTCTTCTTCAACAGCCCGCCAACCATGTCCTGCTACATTGGGAAATATGCCGGTACACCCCTCACTCCAGTTTCATTGCTCTCTTTGTTTTGATCAATTTCAAATCTCTGCTCATTGGTTCTGGGTTGTGTCTGTTTTCCTAGTTCTCGGAATTTGATTCTGGAAAATTAACCATTTTTATTACTATGCTTAGGCGTTGTTTTGTTTTTGTAACTTGTAATTGAGCTCTGGTTTCTTCTACATTATCTCTGCTATTAGCCCTGGTGTTGCAAAGACCACTCCAAAAGCAATGAATCTTAATAGAAGGTCTGATCTTGTTTGAAAATAAACCTTTCATTTGTGTTAGTTGCAGTTTAGGTACAAGGTCTGATCTTGTCCGATTTAAAATAAACAGATCAGACTACTTTTACTGAATCTGTTCAGTAGTTTTTAATATACAAAAAATCACACTGTATTATATATCAAACGGTTAAATGTTTCTAAATCCACATGTTCAAAATATCAAATTTTTAAATATATTTTTCTGATTGGGAATTAAACCCATTAATGTAAAAATGTACTCCGTAAAATAACTTGAAAGTTAAATGGTTGCCATTACAGGGGAACAGATGAAGTATGTGTTTAAGTGTATAGATCAGAAATTGTTTAGATACTGATTTCTTGTTTGTACCAAACGCCCTTAGCACATTGCAATTAGAAATTGTAATTGAGTAATTCTTAAAATGAGATCAGAGAAGAGCGTGCCCTTAGCATAATTAATTCTCTGCTCGAAATTGATGCTTTAAAGTTAAATAAAGAAGTGCATTTTCTTATGATATCATTGGTTTTGAAAAGTTTCTCGACTGTTATTGTTAATAAATACTACTTGTAACTTTTGCAGAAGAACTCATTGCTAACGCTGCGTACATTGGTACCCCTGGAAAGGGCATCCTTGCTGCCGATGAGTCCACCGGCACGATAGGAAAGCGTCTTGCAAGCATCAATGTTGAGAATGTTGAGGAAAACAGGAGGGCGCTTCGCGAGTTGCTTTTCACAACTCCAGGTGCCCTTCAGTACCTCAGTGGGGTTATCTTGTATGAGGAAACCCTTTACCAGAAGACCTCATCTGGTATGTGTTTGGCACTGAATGCCAGAATATCTTTCCCATCTGAATGTGGTATTATATATTTACTCGTTCATTCATTCATGTATTTGTTCACTTATTTATTATTTATTTATTTACTTATTTTACTAACTTAATTAATCACTGCTTATTATATTTTGAGATTTTCCAATAATGTTATTAGAATAAAATGCATGTACAAAGTATCACCACAAAGGCAGTCAATACTAATCACCGCGGGTCACTCTAGTGTGGACTTGAAACCACTATAGTGAATTGGCATTATGAAATAAAAGTCATGTTTTTATCTATTTTTGCATCTGTGTATCTGACATTATTTCGTTTCTCAGGTAAGCCCTTTGTTGAGCTCCTGAAGGAGGGCGGAGTCCTTCCAGGGATCAAGGTTGACAAGGGTACAGTCGAGCTTGCCGGGTACCAATGGGGAGACCACTACACAGGGTCTTGATGGGTTGGCCGAACGGTGCAAGAAGTATTATGAGGCTGGTGCTAGGTTCGCTAAATGGAGAGCAGTCCTAAAGATCGGTCCCAATGAGCCATCTCAACTTGCTATAAATGAGAATGCCAACGGGCTTGCCCGTTACGCAATCATCTGCCAGCAGAATGGACTTGTACCCATTGTCGAGCCCGAGATCCTCGTCGATGGGCTTCATGACATCAAGAAATGTGCTGATGTGACGGAACGTGTCCTAGCCGCTTGCTACAAGGCCCTGAATGACCACCATGTCCTGCTTGAAGGCACCTTGCTGAAACCAAACATGGTCACACCTGGTTCGGACTCTGCTAAGGTAGCACCGGATGTGGTGGCTGAGTACACAGTCCGTGCCTTGCTGCGAACCATGCCAGCTGCAGTCCCTGCTGTGGTGTTCTTGTCTGGTGGTCAGAGCGAGGAGGAGGCTACTGTCAACCTTAATGCCATGAACCAGCTGAAGAAGACCAAGAAGCCGTGGAGCCTTTCCTTCTCGTTCGGGCGTGCTCTTCAGCAAAGCACACTCAAGGCTTGGGCAGGAAAGCAAGAGAATGTCAAAAAGGCTCAGGAAGCTTTCCTTGCAAGGTGCAAAGCCAATTCTCAGGCAACCCTGGGAACGTATTCCGGCTCGGCTAACCTTGGAGACGGTGCCTCCGAGAGCCTGCATGTTAAGGATTACAAGTACTAAGGATGCTTTGGTTTGTGGGTGGTTACTATCTTCTTGTGCTTTAGCCGTTTTGGTTCTTTTTGCAGTGTTCTTATGTTGAGTTTTGATGTTCTCTTTCGGTAATAAGAGTTTTAAAAAAAATCGTGATTCAAGTTCCAATGTCCATATCTGATTAAATCCCAAACACAGAAGTTGCGCGGAAAAATAATCTGCAATTCTGCAAACAAATTGTGACAAATAATTAACACCCCAAAAGATAATCTTTCTTGATTTATATAAGGATCAATACGATAGCGGATTGATAGACGGTTCAAATCTAATACGTATCTTGGAACTTTGCTTCTTTTCCTTCGAATTGTCATACTTATTTTTTTTAGCCTTTGCTTCAAGTCACTTCTCAATTCCTAATACATGTTTAAGCCAGCAAAAATCTGATGATATCACTTTGATAATCCAAAAAAGTAGGTCACATAGAACAAATGCTTAATAGATTAGGAAATTTTGTAAAAAAGGAAATATGTTCTAATTCACTTCATTTTTAAGATCATCTGTGAGATATATTTTTGGATGTACCGTACATATGTGATCACCTCAAGAATAAATGAAAGCACCATATATATTTGATTAGTTTAAGTTATTACGGAGTATTATACAAAAATAACAAAATAAATATTCGTTTGTATGTTCAATCATCAATGTGTTCAAAATCTGACATTGAGACAAAAAGTTTTTCCAATATAAATTGTACTTCGTACATTATATTCCTTCTAAAGTTTAGTATTGCTTTTTGTTGCTTTTAATATTTAATTAATATAACCTCCGTCCCAAATTGATAATCTCAGTTTTTATTCACTTTATCAACATAAACTACATTTAATCTTTTACTTTATATATCCAATTGTATTCACTTGATCAACATAAACTACATTTAATCAATATAATTTTTTTTCCTACAAATAATTCAAGTGTTTACAAGGATCAATTTGCTTTTTCGTCAGTTAAACATCGTAAAACTCAACAGGACTATCAATTTTGTTATGAAAATAATAGTAATAGACTAATAGGGATAATAATCATATTTTAGGAATGGTATAAGAGAAGAAAAATAGAAAAGGCGAGAAAAAGTAGGAAAGTAGAGCATAAATTCCAAATAAAAAAAATACATGAAAAGTAGACAAATAATTAAGAGCTTCCTATATTTCTTGTCTCCATACTGAGTTAGGTGACAAGTTGTCACAAACTACTTTTCCTGTCTCGTTGATAGATTTAGTGCTTATGTTTCATACGTATAACGTATGCATGCAAAATCATTGTTGCAGCGACATTCTTTTTAAACAAATCGATATAACAGTCTATACTCTACACACTCAAAAGAATGAAAAGATATTCAGTTGTCCTTTTTGCTATACGCACAAAAGAACCTTCTTCAACAGAACCAAAATGAGTCATGCACAGTAGATAACCGAGGTACAACGTTCTCCAGCTCGTGTAGCCTATTGTTCTTGAATGCTACAATCTTTCCTTGACAACAACCGTAGTGAGTTCCTTGCTGTTCCACACCAGCACCAGTGTTTCTAAATGCACCGGGTTCATCCGACCTTTGTAGTTCATGAGGTCTAGACCGCACTTTTTCCGCTTGCATCTAGCGATTTTCACAGTACTTAACGGATACCTGTCAGTGAACTGTACATGGATGTCAGCAGAAAATTCATGAAGAAATACACTGCCATAATCATTTTTACCAATTATAGATAAATTGCTAGCTTTTACGAGGACAGTACTGTATATCATAGATGCAATGCACGAATCCATACTTGTAGTACCTATAAAGAGATGTAGGACAGTGGGGGAGAACCAAGGCTGTCCTTAGACAAAATGAGGGCCCCAGGCGGCCTTCAGTTCAGTCCTTTAAATATTGTCATTACTATTGTTGGGGTGGGGCCGTGGGGGAAATCAAGTGCCTCAGTTGTTATTGAATTGATCTCTTTTGTTTAATAAAAATCATCCTTTTCTTATTTACTTTGTTCTATCCTATCTGAATTCACGGACTACTATGCATCATTTTTATGAAGCACTACAAAGGGGTAGCTAGGGAAGCTCAAATTTGCCTAAACATATTGTTAGAACCCCTTTAGCCGACCCCGAAATCTTTAGGGACTAAGGCTTGAATGTTGTTGATTGTTAGAACCCTACATCGCAAAATTAAAGAGAATATTCAAGCTTTTAGTGCTGTTTGGCCCAAGTGTCTTATAGGCCAGTTCAGTGACCCCAATCCAATTATAATACTATCACATAGTTACGGGTCATTTTAGCAGAGGGTGGGAATGGTTGCATAACACATTCAGGCGATAATGCTCCAAGTGATGCAAGAGTGGTAAAACAGAACAAGGTTGCATCCTCTTACATTTGGGATGTCAAAGTCATGATCCACAGCATCACAAACATCAAGTGATATCCTTCGAAGCATTGGCATCTGATCCAAAATAATAATTAGTGATTAACATACTATAGATTTAAGCTCTCGTAGTAGGCAGGTCAGAATATGGTTAAGGCATCAAACATTGAAATGATTTGTTACCTTTGACGCAACATGAGAAATAAAATCCCTCTGCATTCCAGTACCCTGCAATTAGGAAGTGATAGAGATCCAGAACAGAAATCCAAGAACAGTTTAACAAGAAGATATCAAGAACAAACAGAAAAGCTTTATTGATGAAGAAGGTGAACAGTATCGGTAACCAAGGTCGTCGCCTCCCAATGAGCCGAAGCCCCCAAGAAAGAGAGTAGCTCTCGATCTCCCAAGTCCCAATTGACAAATGTCTAAACAGTCTCCTTACTAACTCCCCCCTCCTGTCTATTTATACTAGAGTCCTCCCATACCTTCATTACAAATATTATTATTATTATTACTTCTAATAAGTGGGTTCCTATCAATACTCCCCCCCTAAACAACCACCTTGCCCTCAAGGTGGGCGATAGGAAACTGCCAAGATCTTTTGCTTCTTCTTCTTTCTTGCTCCTCTACCTTCCCAATACCTAACTGATTGAGGAGCCATGAACTTCATTGCCTGAAGACCCAAAGATGTATGGCAGCTTACAAACCCCACCACCAATCTGGATTCCGATGCTCTGTGCTGCCAGATGTATACTGTGGTATTGCTAAGCAAAGGAAGAGCTGCACATAGATACTCAGCACATTGATACTCAACTATTCTTTCCAGCAAATAGGGTTCCACTTCTATATTTCCAACATCTTCACCTATCATCCATTGCTCACTCTTCAATTTGTTAATAGCTTTGGCTTCAGGATATAACTCAAGTCCTTGAGCTTCAGTTGCTTCATTCCTTGATATTGCAGCATTCACAGCAGCCAACTGAAACTGGTAGTCACCAACTCCACCCCCATCTGAAACAAGTAAACAGACCACTGGCATTTCTCTAACCTTTATCATATCACTCTCAGTCAATCCTACTCCCAACCCCTTTCTAATAGAACAACTCAGAGATGAAACTCTTGAGATACATTGATCATTGCCCACCATCACATAGCAATATCCACCATCTTGGTATGCATTCTTACTCCAACCTGAGTAATAAGGAGCCTTTTCTTCCCGAAAATTGGACCAAGAACTCAAGCCAGAAGACAAAGCATTTGGATTCAATTTCAAGACAGCATAGGTAACAGTTTCATTTGGTTCAGCCTTCTTCCAGCCTTCCATAGCAGAAATTAATTCATTACTATTCTGCAGCTCCTCGTAGTTTCTATCTTCTGAGACTAGTACAGTATTGGCTGCAAAATCTTTTTTGTTCCTATCAACGTTTTCCTCTTTTAATTCCTTACCTACCTCATTTGAAAAGGAAAGTCTAAAAGGTTTTAGCAAGCAAGTAAACTGATTTACTCTTCCCGCTGCAATTCTCTTAACTAAGGAACAAAAAAGATTATTTTCCAAGTGAAATTTACAAAGTTGGTGTCCTAGCAGGTAATCAGATCCACCACCCAAAAAAGACATGGCCATTTCCAAATTAAGTATCAATATCATCTTTCCTTTGGTTTCACTATTTTGTTCCACCAAATTTCCCACTGCCTTCTCATTTAAGAACTCTGTTATTCTGAACTCTCCAGATGAAGCCTTAGGACTACCCCCTCTCCTGACCTCAATTTTTTTCACTTGGTTTGTCATGTCTTCTAGTCCAAGAGTAAGACTTACTTCTTCAATCAAAACATCCTTTGGAGATGAGTTTAAATCTGAATCCACATTTTCTATTCCTTCCAAATTTTCTTGTGGACTGAGACAAGTTGCTGCAGGTCTGACAGAAACAGTTCCGGATTGCGAACTGGAAACTTCACATCTGGATTGCTTCTTAAGTAAATTGGTAGTAGCAAGTGAAGCCTGCGAACTGGAGGATGATGTTGGTGATGACTTTTGCGAACTGTAGGAAGTTCTTGTTGATCTCGATGACTCCTGTCTTGCTGTCTTCCCTGTCTTCTGCCGGTGTCTAGGTGGAAAATCCTTAATCAAATCTTCTTTTAGAGCCTCCCAACTATCTTCTCCCTTCTGAAAATCCCACCATTGAAACCAGCCATCTGCGGCTTCCCCCATTGCCTTTGCTGCCATGTCCACTTTAAATCTTTCTGCAATAGCTTGGACTCGAAAATATCTTTCCATCTTCTCTATCCATTCATACGCTTCATCCTCGTAGAATAGAGGTAATTTCTCCTTCTTTGAACTAGTTGACTCCCGATAAGCCATTTTAGACGAAGAATGCGAACGGATGTTGGTTGAGGAAATATGCGAACTCTGATGCGAAGAACGATGATAAGAGTGATGTGAAGAATTCTGCGAAGAGCAATGTGAAGAGCTTAGCGAAGAAACAGTTCGCGACTCTGTCTGCAGTAGCGGTTCATGCCTGTTGTTCCTCGATCGATCTCTAGACTTTCTGTGATGCCTATGCTCTTCCGACTCTCCTGCACTTGCTAAATGTTGCGACTGATGGTGGTGCGATTTGTGATGCGATCTATGCCAAGAATGCGACTGATGGTGGTGCGACTGATCGATCGAGTGATGCGATCGATTCTTCCCACGACATGGAGGTCTGTTTTGTAGATCGGCGAGGCTAGCTTGCATAGCGACCATCTTTGCCGCCATATCCTCGTGCTTCCTTTCTATCTGCGTTATACGACCTTCCATCTTCGTTCGAGTCTGTCGCATCCAGCAATCTACCTGGCTCTGGCTCTGATACCAATGATAGAGATCCAGAACAGAAATCCAAGAACAGTTTAACAAGAAGATATCAAGAACAAACAGAAAAGCTTTATTGATGAAGAAGGTGAACAGTATCGGTAAC